GTCCCAGCCGCCAAACCACACAGCCACAACAAAACTCCTCTCCGTCCCCTGGCCATCAAGACTGTACGCAACCAGCTCTCCCAGTAACGGCCCAGGGAGGACAATGAGACCAATGGACCCAATGTCTTCCTGTATTCTGGCACCATCCATTTGGCACTGTTTAGCTGTTTCCAATGTTTTATGTAGCCGACTGTTAACTTTTATTATTATAAACATTTTTTAATATATTATCTTTATCTTATTTTTAATCTGTTCCTTAAGGTCAGGGTTTTAATTTGACGGTGTTAATGTACTGTTTAATGACCAAATGGCCGACGATGTGAGGAAAAGTATGAGATGGATTTTTACTTATTCTGGCTGATAAGTCTGATTTTGCTTCCTGCTCGTGTGCGAATAACAGTATCCGTGTGAAATAGGACAATAACACGTGTCTATATTCTTATACATTAACCGTTAATATCAGCTGAATAATTGTCTATCTCTACTTCGAAAAGATATTCATAAAATTTTTCCTATCGTCTATCTCAGAGGCTACCAGATGAGACATCACATAAATACTACAAGCTTGTTTGTACTCTAACAAATACAGATAAATGAACGATGTGAATCAGCCTATCTATATAATCCTGTGATTATCAGATATATAAGCGTACGAGTGCTTTGAGGAGCAGGTTGCGAGACCCAAAAGCAAATTTCGAGAGATTGTCCTATGAACTATCTATCAGCTCATTGGGTTGATATACAAAAACAACATTAATATATTCCTTCTGGGACCAAAGGTGGATTGTATTACGATGATGTAGTATTTAGAGCAGGCACAGAGAGATCAAACTCCGTACCGGTTCACTTCGTAACCGTGAAGGAACAGCTACTAGAGGCTACCCAACCACCTACTAATGTCCATCTTTCGTGACATATTGATATAGGATCTGTGTATCTCTCATGCTATAAATTTAGCCTATGTTGAGTTTACTGGCTATATTACTGTTCTTTCGCGTTTGCTACAAGAAATTTTATCACTTAGAGGTCTGTTTATTGCTTAAGTCACCTATGTTTTTTATTACATCACTTTGGCGCTTCTCGGATGCACCACACTTTTAATAAACCTCAAAAACCTGTATATATATTGCAAACAATGATAAGTCGCTCATGAGAGCAAATCCAATGGAATTCGAGATTCTATCCCATGTTTATGAACAATTCTTGATCATCTGAAGGCTCAGTAGCAATACTTGAACCTAGTATACTTAATCTCGAGCTCGAATCAGCTCTACGCAGAGGAAATCAACACCATATTTAAGAAGTATGATCATAATAGTTGTTAACTCAGTCAGTGTGCAGTCCCACCATATCCAAACTAATGCACTGATCTATACTAACATGTCAACCACTCGGCAGCGAAGCGAAATAAGCACCTGTATCTATTATATAACACTAACTGTTCATAGGGTGATTCTGGGAACACCAGAATGAAATAAAGAACAACAAGTTAAAAAACTCGAAAAAAGAGACATAAATGTAAATAAATCATGAAGACCACTCACTATCGTGATAATATTAATAGATATTTAAAATAAAACTTTAAAACGTCTTCAATGTGTATACCTTGTGTCATTAATCTACATTCAAATTAGTAGCCAAAAAACACAGAGGACACGTAACATTGACTGAGCACTTCCACCATAATTTGTGACGAGTTACAGTATCATTGATCCATTTACTATGCGAATATTTTCTGTGCTGTGTCACCAGTGACCAGTAGTGGTTTGGAGGCAAGTCGCAACACGACAGATGCAGCATCGCCATCTCTCTTCCCTTCAGTATCAGCGAAGCAGTGAGAAACCAAACTCAAACTGTAAAAACACAGAAACACCTGCAACACAAATCTCAGGCATCATCGACCATCGAAGAAGGGGGAGGACTTGGACCAGCTCGCCCTTCCTCATAGGCCTTCAACGCAGCATACCGTATGTTATATGTATGATTCTCCACATTCGCCTGGCTGTGCTCCGCACACTATCCCCAATAAACCAATGTAACTTGCACTCAACCACATCCCGCTACGCTTGTCATCAATATATGTTCTTGGGCGGCGCGCCGCGAGCGAAGAGAATGTTTCTATTATTGTGAAAGGCAAAGTCTATTGCTCCGCTGATTTTGCAGTAAATGGGGAGAAATAGAACAGCAGCAGAGAGAGGCAGTAGGCCGACTGAAGATCAATTCGAAGGACTCGAATGAGCACTGGTTCAGCACTGGAGAGTAGCGAGGAGGAATAATCGTAAATTGGAGACACCAGACGTAGAAGGCAGGGAGGATGGTGTGTGTGTTTGGCTGTGTGCTATGTGGTGTGTGACCTCTGGAGGGGTGTCAACTTGTTACTTATCCAAGCAGTATTTCACCCCGTTGTACCTCTGGGTGCGTCCACAAGAAAGAACGCTCTCAACTGAGGAGACGAGAAGGATCGGTGAAAAAGGAGAAGTCAGTTCTCGCAGCAACGAAGCAACGGAGCAACAGGTTGGAGTGGAGGCAGAGGAGTAGGGTAAGCACTATGCTCTTGAGATGATGGTGGCCATAACCGTTCACCACATGCCCATATGACTTAGAAGACTATTACAGGTAGCTCGATTTGGTTACGCTACGTTGATAGAAAGTGTAAGGATGGTAAACAGCAGTGGTGAGATTCACATGTGACCTTTCAGAAAGCCCTTGACCATCTAACAGGCCTCCATCAACGGAGCCATTAACGGCACAGAAATATCTGACCAGAGAAATAGCACTATACCGATCCCACTGTAACCTTCCGCTCACTAGACCTATTCTTGAAGTATTGCATTTTGTGGAGCTGCTATGTGTGTCTAGAAAACTATGAGAAAAAACTAGTCAAACACCACAAGCGAGTCCAAAAAATACTCTGTTATGTAATCAGAGTGGCGGTTGGAAATCTGGATATTCCACGAGCCACAAAGTGTAAGCTACTGAATGTTACTGCGAAAGTCTTGCCTTTCTTTGCCAGTCTTTGTAGAGTAGTTCCAGCGTGTTTGTCATGTTGATCGTCCATACTTAGCTTTGTTGTATTCTATCTCTTATCGGTGCGGCAGCCATCCTCCTGTAGAGGGTCTCTATCTTCATAAACTCATTAGTTCGAAGATCCACTAGTCAGTGGGCTCCTGTCACACCCATTTATTCAGCAATGTCTGTGTTAGCGGCAGCAACGTAGACATACACACGAATCAGATATGAACCAAACAGGTACGCTAGATTGTAAACACAAAGCATTGCAAACAACTGACAAGCACAAACATGTAAAGTCATGTCAACTAAAAACATCACAACACACTATTGAACATTTCCCTCAGCAATACACACTCGTAAATTATGGTGTAAATTATGTCTAGTATTGGAGTCAAAGGACGAGGGGTCATTGGCACGACACGTGGTGCTCCCGACGTCAACCCACCATGTCTCTATGATCGAATAACTCACAAGTCGCTCCCAACTGCGTCAGTCACTAAAGTGAATTTACTTATAGTTGTGCCATTCTGTGACCAAACACAGAAGGAAGAGAGGGATATGGGAGAAGAAGTTGCCCGTACTACAATTTGTCAAGCAGTCAGGCTGATCCTAACGGCGCGTGTGGCCACCACTCTAGCAACCCGTTGAGGGCGATAAGTAATACTCATGAGTTCATCTCTGTACTCACTCCGATGTTGTTGCGGGATGGAAAACGCCACGCCAAAAATATGAGGATGGACGGATTAATCGTCATGTCTTACACAACATTTGAGTTTTGTGTCCCTGTGCTGTACAGTGGATACTTAAGTGACCATCCCATTGAGAGAGACTATGGATTATTGTTCGAGCCTCTTGAAGATAGCATGACAGAGAGGAAGTACATAAGACCGAGGAGAAGAGGGTAGGGAGAGCAGCAACGAATATACAAGGAGAGAAGAGAGACAGAAGAAGAGAATCCGCGTGATTTTGGTAGAGCGAGTATAACATATGAGCGGGACAGAGAAAGATCAAGTTCCAGATAAACATTAACTCTAGCAACAGGGAGTCTGCTCTTATATAGTAATAGCCCTATGTGAACGGGTCAGAAATTCGTTTTGTGCATACTGAATCAGATCAGAGGGCGAAAATCGAGGACATTACACACATGCGTGATTTCTACATAGAAACGATGACCATCCGCGCACGCACGGATACTAGCGCGTTAATTATGTCTGGGACAGCAGTCGGCCGCTGAACACACTCCTCTGCCTGGTGAAGGTGCTGTGCAGAGGGTGGTGGGCGTCTTTTTGCCACTGTCACAGTGGGTGGATTTTAAAGGACCAGCGTATGGCAGGGACGTTAGAAAAAGCACACAGACAAGAGTGAATAAGCGTCAGTGATGCAAACACAGTAACAAACATACTTTTGTATGCATAAAAC